CAGTGGGTGGCTATGTAGAGTGATAGAACAGAGCAGGCACGCCCCCGAGAGAAGGAAAGCAAATCACGTCACAAATTAGCATTTCTAAAATGTTAGCGTGGAATAATAAAAGTGCAAAAAGACAGCGGTTGTCGCCGGAAGAAACTTCAAATACAGAGAATGCTGTGCCTGTGTTGGAAATTGTGTCTGATGGGGAGCTTTCTTTGGTTGATCCTCCTGCTCCAAGTTCTAGTGCATTAGCATTAGCACTAGCTCCGCCGCCTCCTCCAGAGCCTCTAACGTTAGCTGCTGCTGGCGCAACTGCCACCACCAACACCGGGCAAAGCGATGCACCTGACTGCTGGACAACGGACCAGGTGCAATATTTTTGCAAGACCAATGCATGGCTCCTTCTTAAAGATAAGAAGCTAGGATGTCGGATATGCAGAGATGTCAAATCTTTGGGAATGGACAAGGACTGAAACTGTCAACTGAATGGGGTGAGTGTGCAGTGTCTCATTTTGGTGTTGACAAGGGCAAACAACAAGCTAGCCTGAGAAAAAAAATCAAAGAACATAAAGAATCACAAGCCCATGTAAAAGCTGCTGACATCCTTACATCTGCTTCACGTGAAACTATTCAACATCAAGTGCAGTCTATGCATACATCTGAATTAGACACCACTATCAGAGTTTTTCGAACGGCATATAAAATTGGCAAACATAGCCGGCCATTCACAGACATGCCAATTGATTTGAATGTACAGAAACTGAATGGGCTGAACGTGGGCAGGGTTTTGCACTCCAATAAAACCTGTGGCGAAATCATCGACCACATAGCTCATGAGCTGAAGAAAAAAATGGCAAAAGACATTACAGAAAACCAAAGAAAACTCTGTGTTTTGGTCGATGAATCTACCACTATTAGTGGTAAAACGGTGCTTGTTGTGTGTCTACGCTCAGCATTAGCTGATGCTGAGCCCGAAACGTTTTTTTGGGAGCTGATCGAGTTGGATGGAACAACGGCTGATGACATCACAAAGGCGTTAATGGAGTGTCTTGGAAGAGATTTTAACGAGGACTTTTTAGGTCAGTGTTTCGTTTCTTTTGCATGTGATGGGGCTTCAGTCATGCTAGGGAAGAGAACAGGCGTTGCTACCCAGTTGTGTAGTAAATTCCCAAACCTGTTTGTGTGGCACTGCTCCAATCATCGTCTAGAGCTGGCAGTTGGGGATGTGGTCAAGGAGGTCTCAGGGCTCAATCATTTCCAGATCTTTTTTGACAAACTCTATTCCTTGTTTCATTGCCTCCCCCAAAAATCAGAGGCAGTTAGCGCAGTGTGCGCAAGCAGTCGGACAGCGTCTCCTGGTGATAGGGCGTGTTTTGTCCATCCGCTGGGTGGCTTCAAGTGAAAGGAGCGTCAGAGCAGTCTGGGAAAACTACCGAGTGCTTCATGATCACTTCACAAATGCTGCAAACGACACGAGCAGGGATTCCAGAGACAGAGCAAAGTACAAGGGCCTGGATGATGTGCTCACATCTGCAACGTTTGTCAGCAATCTGGGACTGATGTACGATGCGCTCACAGAGCTCAGCGACCTCTCTCGGAAACTCCAAAAAAGAGAGATGACACTGCCTACAGCAGATAGACTCTTAACTCGAGAAATACGAGTTTTTGAATCCATGGTCACCATGCCTGGCCCACACATGACTACAGTTCATACAGCTCTAGCTGAGAAGTCCTTCAAGGGTGTTGCCCTGCGTGAGAATGGCAGGCTTGTACAGATTCATGCAGGTCAGTTTTTCCGCAGTATGGTAGAGAATCTGAGACACAGAATGACTTCCACAACCTCCTCTCATGTCAGCACAAGAGAAATCCCATTACATGGCCGGGAGGCCCGGGACAATCAGCTAATCCAGGACATGAAAGTTATCCATCCTGGAAGTTGGCCTGAAGAGGAGTTAGACGTACAGTATGGGGACGTAGAGGTGCTACGTTTGTGCGAAGTGCTGAAAGTGGACAGAAGAGAGACTGTTCAGGGCTTTCGCGAATACAAGGAAACCAGGGCATCCCGTACACCTGCTGCCATGGAGCCTCTACTGAAAGCAGTCCGAACCATTGCTGTCTCCACTAGTGAGTGTGAGCGGGCATTCAGCTGCATGAACAATATCCTTACTGCAAAAAGGAATGCTCTCTCTGTCAGCCGACTGTCCAGCCTAGTTTTCATTAAATGTAATGGACCATCACTAGGACAGTATGTGAGGTCCTGGCTGGCAAAGGGAAGGAGAAGTGCTGATGAAAGAGCCTGTCCAGCTCCAGCCCCTGATACTGATGTCCCCAAGGCCTTCTGGAGCCTTTTCTAACAATGTGAAGTATATTGCAAAGCAGCTCACCCAGTGAGAAGACTTTTGGCATAATGTGCCGATTTGTACAGATCCTGGAGATAGAAGGACTTCAGACCAACCAGGGAGTTATCTGATCAGCTTGGTGTTCAATGTAACTCTTTACCATGGCTCAGACTTTGTTACTTGCAGTTACAGTTTCTCATTTTAGATTGTGCAAATTTTGCATTTGTTTTTACATGTTCTTTGTTCATGCTCTTTATCATTTTTCTGAGTTGGAAAGTTAGATTGCATCATAGTTTACTTTATACATATTTGTATTCTTCAGTGGTGAAGTATATTGCAAAGCAGCTCAGCCATGTGAGAAGACTTTTGGCACTTTTTCGTTTTTCGTTTTCTGAGTTGGAAAGTTAGATTGCATTCAAAATGTACAGAAATACTTAATTTTGTTAAAGCTTTTTATAAAAAATGCTTCTGACCAGAGCTTTGTTTCCTTGTCATTAATGTTGAACACCACCAGAGGGGCTCTCACCTGAAAGGTCTCTGCTTCATGTGTCTTCAGCAGAAGATCTAGACTTTGATTGCTATATTTTCAGTTAATATTGACCTTACTGAGCTTTAGCCATATCCGCTGCCTATCATAAAAATGTTAAGTACAGTGAACCTTTCTAAAATATACAGTAGTAAAGAGACAAACCCACCAGCATTATAGTAGCCAAATTCTTGTTTGTGGGCTGTATATATAAAATTGACTTGAAAAAGTTGCTGATTTTAGAGTACTGGCACCTTTTTCATTCCAATTCAAGCACTGCCGAAAAGTAATGCATTACTGTGAAGAGTAACGTTTTAGTTACTTAAAAAAATGGCTCCCATTAATGCCCTTATAGCCTTCCTTTCAGTACTGTTATTGCATTGGAGAATAATAAAATCTGTTGATCAACTTGACATGCATTATATGCAATCTGGATTGCATCAATATTAGCTGGCTTTCCATTTTTGTATATTCTTTCTCCAGGTAGTTGGAAAAAGTGTTCCGTCCCGTGTGCCGCCCGGACATGCTATCATGCTAACTAGCT